ACACACACATACACCTGTACTTACCACACATTTACCTACACACACACACACCTGTACTTACCACACACACACACACACACACCTGTATTTACCACACACACACACACACACACACACACACACACACCTGTACTTACCACACACACACACACACACACACACACCTGTACTTACCACACACACACACACACACACACACACACACACACACACACACACACACACACACACACACACACACACATAATATTTATTTCCTCCCCTCCTTTCCGCGCTCGACACGCCCCCGAAAATTGCGTCATAGGCTTGGACCAGAGAACCTAGACCCTGGCCACACATTTGGGGACATGACCTTTCTCCTGGGTCATAATTTGATTGGAGCCAAAGTTAGTGACACACAAATCTACACACTACACACACACGCACGATCCTTTGATTGTTGAGGTGAATGGCTCCGTTATAATTTTCTCTGATATTGAACACTCTGTCGTTCGTTTAGTACCACAACAAGTTTTAAAATGTTTTGTTCCTTAAAAAAAAAGGAATTAGAATCTAAGAATATTCTTTCTGAAGCATTGTCAATCATTCTCTTTTTTTCAGGACCTTGCTACCCCTTGTGAAAAAGTAGGCCCGGTCTACTTCAGTTGTCGAGGTGGACATAAACAATCTTCGACTCGGAAGAGCGAAAGCAGGACTGTTCGGTTAGTTACGAACGAAGCAGCTATTCTGGAAGTGGTAAAAATGGCAGACGAAATCCCCATGTTTCCCAAAGCCACATCGATGTTTGTCCACAGTGGAAACATCATCAATTGGAACAGACTCAAAAGAAAGCCAAACCTAACTCCTACTGATGAGGTAAGTTGAGTTACTTGCTCCGAACCAGCTGCCAGAATTGGCTATACGGAGCGTTGGCTATAATCCGGTTTTGGCCCCAAGCAACTTTAATACGCTGACAATACAATTCAGACTGGCTGGTTGCTAATTTTGTTAATCTACTAATTATACTATCTAATACTAATAGTTGAAGATTACAATCCTGTCAATAATAAGTGAAGATATCAATTCGGTAAACAAAATTCTGTTGCGAAATTCCATTCTGTTGTCTCTTCATCAAGCCCAAGCAAACGAAAATTATTCATCTTGCGAAGTGGACCAAAGTCCAAAGCACCTAGAATCTAGGATAGAGCACAATTTTGTTTGTTATCTCTCTGTCTGGTGCACAGCATGCATTTTGATTTGTCATCGTGATTCCAACAGTCTGTTTCCTGTTTCTTTTGCATACATTTCATAGATTAAGTTCAGGGTGCTTCACAGATTAGATCTATCAAGATCTAGATTCTAGATCAAGATCTAGGCTAGACTCTATGTCAGAATCTCAATGACGAGAAGATCTCTAGATATAGATCTAGAAATCTAAGACTCTAGACTCTAGATCTAGATTGTAGATCTAATCTAAATCTAGATTCTAGATATAATAGATCTAGATCTAGACCTAGGAGGCCTAGAGACTGTTATAAATAGAATTAAATGTTGGACTTCCTAAGAAGTAGAACTAGAATCTGGATCTGGGATGCAAAGGATTTTTACTGTCATCGATGAACAGTCAGTTGATCCAAGCTGGGTTTAGCCTTAGGTATCAAATATACCGAATTGTTGTGTTTCTTCTTCCATTCAGCTTTGTGACTGCATCAACAAAGCCCTTGGCGATTACCTTGAGTCTGCAGACAAAACACAACTACAGTATGTTACAGAAATATACAAAGTCAACACAGAAAACGTCGACGTCTTAGATGAAAATGAAAGAGATGACGTGAAAGTAACAGGTGAGAGCCCTATAAATATTCCATCTTCTACCAGTAGACCGATGTACTTTCACATTGACAAAGGATTATTGTCAGAAAATAGTTTCATGTGATACTAGGAAAAATAAATTTAACTGATTCTGTCCATGTTTTTTTCAGGCTCTGGACAGAATTATTATTTCCTGTTCAGTTTTATACCTGGGGTGCATCTATTTAATGCATTACTGTGAAGCTGTAAGTCACTCTAATAGGTACGTAGATATCAAACTAATGGGAATAGAGGAATGTGTTTTTATCAATAACAATGACCTATAATCTGTTTGTACTGCATTTTCCTTCAGACAAAAACGAATGAGAAAAAAAAATTGCGCAACAGCTCTTCGAAAATATCGACCTACCGCATTTTCTCAGCTCTACAAGTCCTTATAATCCATAGGAATCAACACAACATTGTAGCGATATCACCCTAGCACACATTTTATGCAAGAATTTCACAAATTTAGTTGAATATCTTTCTTTGAAGGGCCTTTTTATTATACCAGGCCCCGTGTTGTTTACCATTAGATCTAGCCTACATCGCAACAACAAAACAACGAAAAAAGAATTTCCCAGAGTTTCGATCGATATTGGCGCTCAGAGATTGAGGTCAGGTTTGTTTACAAGTTCTTCCTTTCAACAACTTAAAAAGTCGGAACTATGTTAAAAAGTGTACATTTGTTTTGGATTTCGTTGAGCCGCTCACAGCGGTCGAATGGACGCAGCGGAAAAACTCAGAGCCGCTGTCAGCGGCCGAATGAACGGAATCAGTTAATAAATAGTAGCCAACTCTCTAGAAAGACTAAAATTTCTCGCTTTTGCCTCTTTAGTATTAACTGATTCCATTCATTCGGCCGCTGACAGCGGCTCTGAGTTTTTCCGCTGCATCCATTCGACCGCTGTGAGCGCCTCAATGAAATCCGAGCGAAATCCGAAGCAAATGTGCACTTTTTAATATAGATCCTGCTTTTTAAGTGGTCGAAAGGAAGTAGAACTTGTAAACAAACCTGACCTCAATCTCTGAGCACCAATATCGATTGAAACTGCGAAATTCTTGCAAAAATCGTTGTTTTGTTGTCACTATTCCTAGGCTAGATCTAGGGATAACACGGAGCCTGGTATAAGGAAAAAGCCCTTCAAAGAAAGATATTCATCTAAATTTGTGAAATCCTTGCATAAATGTGTGCTACAGGGATATCGCTACAATTTTGTGTTGATTCCTTTGGTTATATAAGCACTTGTAGAGCTGAGAAAATTTGTTTTTGTCTGACGGAAAATACAATACAAACAGATGATAGGTCATTTTTATTGATATAACAGATTCCTCTATTGATTCCCATCCCTTTGGTATATGACTATACATATAGAGTGACTATAAGAGCTTCACAGTAATGTATTAAATATGCACCCAGGTCTAAAACTGAACAAGGAAAAATAATTCTGTCCAGAGCCTGAAAAAAATCATGAATGGAATCGGTTAAAATTAGGCCTGATTACCAACATTTTAAAATTACCTGTATGATCTGCAATATAGTAGTCTCCACCTAAAGTCACGGTCTCGGGAGCAAGGAAAATGCGGGATCTTAGACGAACCGGGATCTCAGCCTAATGTCCAGGGGAAAGAATCCAGAGTAACTCGTGGTCAGGCCCATAGTCAATCTGTACAATGATCTTCCCTTACAACTTTAAAATAAACTGACGTGACTCCTGGGCTCTAAAATTTCTTTTCAGAAGTCCGTTTTTCCTTCTTTTCTTGTTTATGGGCAGGGGATGGGACTTTTAAAAAAATACTGTTTCGGGTGGGAACCAGTTGGCTTCAAGCAATGACCCCCACCAAAAACTTATTGCTTTCCATCTCTAATGGAGTTCCCCAACGCATGTCATGATGCATCATATATCGTCGTATTGTGACCACACCAACCAAATTTTAAAAAATGAAAGGCAGGTTCACTGCCAACAGATGACCTGATTACGCTGAGGAGATTGGACAGTCCCCGAGTATGGGCGCCAGTCTGTCTAGGAATTTCGAGCACAAAACTGAAAGAGGAGAGGGATGGTCGGGGAAAAGTAAGCGTCCTCGAGTTCACAGTTTGATAAAATGCAGTCTGACGCTTGCTTGTTGGCCCTCCACACCTAGTGTGTGACGTAAGATCAAGCGGACGACTTAGGTGATCTGGGAAAGCAAGGCATCGACAAGGTCACACCTTGATGCAATCCCGTTTGGGGTAAACATTGTAACCGCTTATCGAGATTTACAACAGAGGTGTGATCGCATTCAAGAGAGTGAATGATTCATGACGTGACATCGTTCAATGAAATCAATGATCGCACATTTTCGCTACTTGGTTGATCAGCTGTGTGCGCCCGGGTTTCCAATTCTTTTTTTTTTTTTTTATATATAGAAAAAAATAACTAATTTATGACCTGAAAATTGGGATCTCAGCCGAATGTAACTCCTTCAGTGCGGGATCTTAGGAGTGACTTTTATATAGAGAGTAAAAATTCTGTTTTTCCAAAACAGCGGGATCTTAGGAATGACTTTTATATAGAGAGTAAAAATTCTGTTTTTCCAAAACAGCGGGATCTTAGGTGAACCGGGACCATAAGCGGTGGGATCTTAGGCGGAGACTACAGTAATGGCTCTTTTAGTTGATGTAACAACCTTGCTTGTCTTCTGTCTATTTTCAGTAAAAGTCTTCATCTGCCTTCCGCAATCACCAAGTGTGATTGGAGAAGCTATAAGTAAAGGTGAGTAGAATTTTGTTTGTTTTGTGTTGTTGCCATCAACTTTGTTTTTCTGAAGAGTGATTTTAATAAATTATAAAAGTTTACTTCGGATTACATGGTTGAGACCCCCCCCCCAAAAAAAAAGGAGAATTAAAAAAAAAATTAAATAAGAGTTTTACGGCTTTTGCAATACCTTAGTAAGGTTGTGATGTAAGTGCCGAAGATTAGAGGTGTTACAATAGAGTAACAAGCTCAAAAAGGGAGGGAGATAATAAAAAGGATAGATGTTTGAGGAAAGAATTAGGAGCAAACCTATGTCCTTCTTGAGCTGCTCAGAGCACCTGCCAAACACCCACTTGGAAGACTCTTCACAGAAGTCACAGATCTCAAAAATGTTTCAGAGATTCTCATTTTCTTGTTGGCTTAATTGTAATTGATTGTGTTGCGTTTTGGGTTGGGTTTTTTTTTTTACTTTGTTTGATTGTTGACAACAGATAGATGTTGTTCTGTTATATATGATGCAGTTCATTTTTTTATCAAAATCCTATCACTTGTATTATTTTCTACCAATCTTAGATATATTCTTGTTTGTCTGTTTAGTAAATGCAAGGTTATCATGCAATTGTCTGTTGCAGATGGATTTAAGATACATATGACTGTATTATTACTTTGTGTCCTTCAACATAAAATTCTAAGTGTGAGTGATATTCATTCAATATTATTTGTTTTAAAAAATACAAAAAATTGGTGCAAATCAAGTCCACACATTTGAAAGAAATATTACTTGGAAAGAGAGGGCTCAGCCTTTTCACAAAAAGTAACAAAAATATAAATGCAAAATTAGATTCCTCAGGCTGTGCATTAAGCAGTAGCTCTACCTGATTGTGCATTGTCTATTGAATTTCATTATAATTACAGTAGAACACGGCTGTTGCGGGACTTTTGTTCCAGAAGAAAAATCGCACGGAGGAATGCAAAGGGGAAATTATCAAAAAATTTCTTAAAATCCACTTGATTACCTGCCTTCCATATCAATAAAACTTGCGCTTTAGATTACTCTTCATTTTCTTGTCAACTTCGTTGATTATCTCAGCTTTTCATTCGAGTGAGAAGCATTTCCTTTAGTCTTTGTTGGAAGACATCTTTTCCTAGGTCTTGTTTCTTGTGCTGTTTATTGTACGGGTAGGCCTACTGTAGAACTGGTGAAGCAGATGCGTGCGTATGCCTAAGAGCATAAACGATCGCAATTCAGTTAAATCAGGAATCACACACGACAAGCTCTCCTCTTCTTTTACCTTTGGTCTAGCCTAGGGCCATGGCCTATATGCTCTCATACTGAGCGTCTAAGCTACGGCACATCACTTTTGGGGTGGCTCTTGTAACGCGTCTCACCGCACCATCTCTCTCTGCCTCCTGCCCCACCTCACTCATCACTGGACTGACCATTCACAGCACTGCACCGCTGACTGTCTGTTTGGCCATACAGTCCCCCCTCCCCCCCCCAACCTCATAGCTAAACCTTGCTCGATCTCTCCTGCAGTATCCGAGTTAGGCCTTTCCCGCTAAATCCGAGCACAAGTAATTGAGTTTAAATAGAAGGAAAAAAACGGGGGCTCCGGTAAGGTCCTGCTGCAGGGATGGTCCCGCTGTAGCGGGTGCCACTATAGTCATGTTCTACTGTGTAATTAAGGACATGTTCAGTGAAACTCAGAAATACATCAAAGTCTTTGGACTTTACATTTAATTGAATTTGAGAGTTTGCTTTGAGCAATGTCAGTTTTTTGGTTTGTTTTAACCAGAACCAGTGCTGGCTCAACTCTTTTATCTCCGAGGGGGGTAAACCCACTACGCTGGGTCCCTTTTTGTGACCACTGTTCTGACCGAGAGCCACTGGGAGCGGCTTGCCGGAGATAAAGACTTTTTTAAAAAGGCCAATTTTCTTAATGCAAGCCTGTGTCATATGATAAACAAGTTGCAGTGCATGTTTACACAGATCAATGTGCAACTCATTAGGTAGATATGTGGAATACGGTTCGAAATCCAGAGGAAAAAAATTTGTGACTATGTCACGTCTGTATTTTTGGTGGCATTTCACTCCCAGACTGTTTAAAGTTTGTCCCCTCTACCCACAGAGACCCAAACACAGCCACATGTTTTCTGGCTGCCCACTCGACCTCTTCCAACCCCAGCACACATTAAGACATGTGTCTTACGCATCATATATGAACAAGGCATATTTTGGTGTGAAAGAAGGCTTCTAATTGGTTACATGGCTGTGTGTCTCTCAAAGGTCAATTCTATACAGTGTTTGGAACACAATAGCCTAGGTGTGTAGTGATCCACACTGCTGGACGATTGATGGTTCCTTCGAAAAAAAAAGTGAAAATGTTTGTTGCCAGAGAAAAAATGCTAGAAGTCACTTCCGCTGGGGCTGATGCCGATGGCTCTTCAAGTGACTTTGCTGAGTGTGAGTTTGCTCATTTACATGTCGGATGAATTCGAGACAATTTATTTTAATGAATACCAAACAGGGGGGGGGGGGGGGGGGATCCTCCTCCTGTCATTGAGTAAGAGTTTTGTTGAGTCTGAGTTCATTGCACTTTTATTTAGGGTTTTGTATGTGTTTCAATGAAAATGCTGGGTGATGCTTGTGAGTGAATGTGCAGTGCATTGCAAGGAAGTGAAACTGCTTTGGATGTTCCTGAAGTTGTTAGAACTTTCTTTTTCCCCACCTTTTTTTTACTCTTAGTGCTGAATGAACTTGGCACAAGCTATGTGGAGACACTGTTGTTGGCCATCTCACCACTCACTGGAGAGGATGAAGATTCAGAACAGCCTGTAAGTTTTGACTATGTGAACTTTTTTTAGCCTGTAAGTTTTGACTATGTGAACTTTTTTTAAAACTTAAAAACAAATTTGGCATTTATATACAGTGGGGTCCAAAAGAAACTTGAAAATGTAATCACCCAATCTTCATTTTAAAGCTTTGCAGTGCCCACTCAAGCAGCGCACCAATTAAAAGCTAAATTAATTCTGCTTCATCCAACACATTAATATTCCATTTATGTTAGGAGGTGTCCGAGATATGGTCACTCAAAACTGACCTTAAAAAATCAGAAGGCTTGGTAAAATTGTGCCAGATCAAGGTAACTTAAAATATATAGTGTTTGTGCATGTATTGAGGGGCACCAATATTGATAGAATGGGCATACATTGCATATTCACTGTATAAGAGGCGAATCAGTTACAAGAGTGTTGCCCAGTTTACGTTTCCTTGGTTATGAAAACAAAATACTAACAGGGGCCAATTGAAATTTTCAGGTAGTGATTGCTCATGCGCATACATTTTCAGCAGCGCTTGTACCTCCCACCGTGCAAAGAGCGTATATCCTCAGTTTCGGGGGGCACCGTAATTGCGCTTTTTTCGCATTTAGCACACCGAATTAAATTAAATTTTAATACTATTTTTTCATTTACCTTCAAACATTGTTGTATGTTATTATCTAAAGCTCATTACAATGGTAGTACATCACTTTCTAGAATGCATGCCTCTTTCTCTGAAATACTGCTGTATTGGCTGGGACTGGGGTTAGGGAGTGCACAAAAATGGCTGGAGCTGGGAGCAAAGTCTTGAAAATAATTGTTACGGTCTCTGTTTTTTTCATTACGAAGCTCTCTATTGACATGTATCTGTTCTTTTGCAGCATTTTATTTAGTGAATGATTTAGGCCACAAAAATAAAATAAAGTAAAGCCCATAAACTTTAATGAAATGTCGAGCAAGTCTTTTTACTGTGAATAGAACATATTTGTGCTTCTCCAGCTCAGCCTGGAAATCATTCAGCCCTACTGGGAGGCAATGGAGGAACTGGTGTCTGCCAACAAAGCTTTTACTTTGGGAGTCTGTGATTTGAGCAAAGATGTCCTTGAGGACTTGTACACCTGGGCTAAGGTAAAGAATAAGTTCATATGTGTGGCATTGTGGTGTAGTCAGGCGCATGTCAAAATAATGAAACTGAAGCAACTTTTATTAGGTACCACAAGTGAAAATTTTTTTTGAAGAATACCATAACAAGACTATACTTTCCATATTGTGCTCAGTGAAACAAGAACTATGAAAAAAGAAACTATCAAAATCCATCAACAAAACACCTGAGATATGATGTTTCAAATATTTGTTGCGCTTGTAAAAATCGTGACGTGTGCGCAACTGGCTCACAACGCTGTTTCATGGTCACACTACGTGAAAACTGTTCTTGAAAGTCAAAAATGTTTTACATATTCTTAGACAAAAACAACTTGATGTTTTATTTGATCATCTTTTGAATGTAACGAAAGATGCAGTTGAGAGATCAGTCTCAGTATTTCTAGTTGTTACCGTTGGAAGACAATCTATTTTAAAAAAAGCTTTCAAGGTATACCTGAAGTGCTGCATGCAGTATCCCCTTTAACTTGATTTTAAAAAATTTTTGTCACAATGATTTGCAATGGTTTTAGTGTTCTGCACCTAAAAATATGACAGCCTGACCCTCAAAAGCAAGCAACGTAATGTATAGAGATCTATCTAAGAGCCAGAGTGAAAGTAAAAATCTCGAGATCGAGATCCAAGTTTCGTATTAAATTTATTTTAACATATTTTCTAGGTTGGGGAGGACAAAGTAGAACTGTCATTATTCATGATTATTGTTACAGAACCCCTTGACGCTTAACGGTAACGCAACAGAGGGTGAACATGTATATCTTAAAAATAAAGAAGTAGTCTGCAATGCCGTAGTTATAGCCTAAGAATTTTGACAGAACGAGATTATAGGATCAGATCTAGGCCCAAGCCATGCATAATACATTTATGGTTCATATTTTTGTGAATAAAAACACCTTTGGTCAACTTGTTATGAAAAGTAGTTGCATTGAGGTTAAAAAAACCTTTAAAAATTAAAAAAGATAAAGTTGAAAATGTGCGAAACCGGAAGCAACATTACTACTTTTTGTTCTGATGGATAGAGATCTAGATCATTTAGCTGTTCCGTCAGTGAGTATTGACTCTCGTGAAATGACCAGTAGCTTAAGTACTAATACAATTTTTTTCTCGGAAAAACCTGAAGCACGATCTATCTTCAACAACGTTTTACGTTGAACTACTTATCAATAAGATTGAACGAATCACACGGTTGGTTGGCAGATTGGTTGTTGTTACGCGTATTCCCATCGTAATCCGCCTGCTTGCCGGTCGGTGTGTCGAGTGCCTCGACAGCTGCCTCTTCAGCCATTGTTACAGAAAGCGAGTTTCCCTGACACATGCATCCACAGCTTGAAGTCCAATAGCGATCCCACAATAACAAATAGTTTAACAGTACTTGCGTGAATAAAACAAATATATTGTGAACTAACTTTACATGTAAAGCTCATCTAAAAAAATGTTCAGAATACTGAGATTTTATCGAAACTTCTCACAACATTGTCTTTCCACTTTAAATTTTACCCATTTTGTGAAGAAAATCCTGGCCTGCCTATTATGGGGGTAAAGGTCAGCTTTTGACCTTTGTAACAGTGCAGCAGTTATTTCTGTACGCACTATCGCGACCGAGCAGTTCGTGAAAGAAAAAGAGGGGCTGTGGCTAGGTTTCGATGCCAAGCGCTGGTCGGACACAAAATGCTTATTTTCCCAAATTTTAGAGCTATATTAAATATATTTCCACACATCCATTCTATCCATGAACAACACACATATTAGAACAAAACAAGCTCTTCTAATTGATTTTTATTTCATTAAAATCAAGCAATCATGAGTGAAAAGCTAGGTTTGTGAAGTTGATCACTACGACAGTTTTCCTCCTTGGGAAGAACGCTACTTGCCGCAATCGGCACACCGTTTGTGGTACCTTCTTTTATCTCTTTTTTTTTCTGAACACCTTTATGTCCCTTCAAAACCACATCTGTGTGTGGATTATACTGAAAAAATGTTGATTAAAAGCACACAAAAAAAGAAGTTGCTGTTTCCAAGGATACTCAAGCTTTGGAAGTCACCAAACTTTGGGAACTATTTTCTCGTTAATTTCACCTCTGGCGTGGTGTGACCTTCTCCTCCTTCAATCGCAGATATTTCCACTTCAATTCAAGATAGATGGGTTTTTTATTAATCGAAAGCATGATGAATGAATAAACTTTAAGATTATGCCAATAACTCCATATCCCCCAAAATTGACGAGCACCTGATTCAACTGAGTCGTGACACATATTGAAGGTTATGCTGTCTGTGTTTAAAACATCGAATATTATTTTGTTAAAAGAGGGATATTTTTGTAACATAATTATTAAGTAATATGGCTTATGATCTGTTGCTAAATATTTATAAGTGAAATAAAAAGAAAAGTATATCAAGATAAGAAACTGTACTCACTCTTGTTGTATCTTGTACAAGGGAAAAAGAAAATCTTGAATTTAATAAAAAATACTTTCTAACTCATCTGTGACATTGCAGTATATGTAGAGCAGACATTAAATGGTGATTTTATTAAAGACCTTTTTATACTAGCTTTTAATAGGGGTGTAATATAGTTTATCTGCTTAGGTCGCTGTCGGGGTCATTTACCGTAAAATTAGATTCAACAGCATCTAAATTACTTGACATATTATCAGTCTCACCAGCTCTAACAAGCGCTTCTGTTTGTCTGAATCTCAGTAGTCTTGTTTCGTGTTGAAAATTCCACGAAAAAAGCTAATAGAAAAACATTTACAAACAATGCAATCTTTAGAATGATGTTTAAACCACATGGTGTATTACATCAGTCTTACCTGCTTTGGCCAGTCCAAAAATGAACAGCAGCTCACCACGAGTTCAAAATCAAAACTGCTCTAGGTGTAGAATCAAACAAGGTGCTGCAACTTGCACATTGAACTCAGGATAATGGAGTTATCCCTTTGAAAACCTCTAGACCCTGTTGTTAAAGCAAGAAAATTTGTTATATGAAAAATGTCTCTATGCAGCAAGACTTACCAGTCAGAAAAAGTCATAGAAATATTATGGTGCGTTTTGGCAGGTGAAGCCTTGTATTAACCAAGTGAACCTGGAGTCGTGTTGTGTCATGCCCAAAGATCTGACCGAGTATGCTAAAGCCATCAACATTCAGTTGTTGACCCACAATGACAGCCCCGGTGAGTACACCCATGAGGGCAGTGGAGGTGCTTTTTGGGGGATGGTTGGGTTTTTTTTTGTTGTTGTTTGTTTGTTAGGAAGGAGGGGACTTTTTTGCTGCAGGTCTTTCTGGATGTGAAATTTTGTCTGAAGTCTTTTACCTTTTTTATGTTTAGACCTACTGACTATTAATTCTTTTTTGAGGACCAGGAATGAATTTATTTCTTTTTAAAAGGATCTATCTTTTCTGTTATTTCCCATGTCATGTTTGCTCTTTTTATGGGATTATCTTCCTTCAAAGATTATTTTTTCTTACTGATTAAATTGTCTTGTAGTTCGTTATGACATACAGGGTGATCCATAAAAAACATTGCACCTTTTTTTTCTGAATATCTCGCACAAAAATTGTTCTAGAATGCTGTGATTTGGAACAGACATAATTCATTCAAAAGGAATTTGTTTGATATAAAATCCACGAAGAAGAACCATGTTTTGAAAAAGGAAACGGCTAAAAGAAAAAAAGCATCCAAAAACGCAAAGTTCACCAATGTTTAAAAATCTTGTAAAGAAAGTCGTGAAAAGATTAGTTGACCTTTTTCTTTATTTTCTCCTTGACATTAATTTTCCATTCCTGTGACATTTTAACAATATTTAATTTCTTTCACAGAGTTTAAAAAACCTAATGATTTCATTCTGAAATTCCTAGAAGCAGTGCTCCACATTCCCTTCTTTGTATTTGACAAATTTTTAACGCGTCGTTCGAAATGTTCAGTGGCGCCCTAACACAAGGACCTGCTAAACCATGAGTTTTTAAAAAGCCAAATACACTGTACATGTTCACTAACAAGTGGCTTCTAGAGACAATAGAGTGGTGTGCCCAATAGACAGCTTTTTTGGAGTTAACGTATCCCGCAGGGTGAAAATTGGCTTTGCACTAAACCAAATGGCATTGAGGAAATGATCCCTCTTTACAAGACAATCGAAGAATCATGAACACATTGCCATGCTCTGATCCATGTCATCTCGGTCTAGCGAAGATGAACATGGCATAGTCATAGATTAAGATCTGCCATGAGAATGCAGACTGTTGATGTGTAGGAAAGTCCTAGCTGCATATCGTCCACGGACTGACGTGTCATGGGACTAAGCTACTGAAATCTGCACTCTGGTGACGTTTAAAGGGTGGCGCATGGTGTGTGTTCGATCTGAAGGGTTCATTTTTTAAAGAACTTTGTAGTTCTGATTCGCTATAGATCCAAACGGACGGAACTTCTCTACTCTACCAAAGGGCACCTAAGCATTTTTTCCATGCCATGCACAGAACTAACGAAATTTCAGGGATGGTGAGTTTGTAGAGAGGTAATGTTCAATACAAAAAGCTCTCTGCTCTTTACTTAACGTAGCCATGATCTAAGCAGGCAAACGAAATTTGGGAAAAATAATATCTGCAGACTTATGTTGACTTGTTAGACTGCTGTAACTTGCAATATGGCGCGATTGTTGCAACTTTTAGTGGTAGGCCTAATGCAAACTGGTGCGCCATACTATGAAAATGGTGACAAGGTTGAAAATGGATTGGGTTTTTTATGCGCTATACAGACCAGAACCATTCAATGGACTTATCTAAAATACATATCGGACAAATTCCTTTTGGCTTCCTAATATTATGTTCAAATTTGAAACGCGCAACTTCTGTATGGAGGAAGATATTTACAAAACAAGTTGTTAAGTTTTTTTTGGTTCACCCTGTACTTTCCTCTTTTCTTTCGTTCATGGCTTTATTTTACAAAAAAATGTGTTTTGCTATTGACCGCTTTCCTGTGTCTATTCCACAGTGTTCATCAACAAAGAGCGGCTTCAAGAGACCATCCAGCAAGTGTCTACGGAGCGTGACAGTGATGCTTGGTCGCCGCAGTGGGCTGTCCGCTACTCGGGAATCATCAAGTGCCGCGGCATCATCAAGTTGAAAGGCTACGTTTTCCACGCCCTCAGAGACAACAAGAAGCGGATATTGTGAAGACCACACTTTTCTTTGGACCAAGAATAATTATAAAAGCTCAGATGTAGAATTTAGTTTCATTCTGTGCACTCTGTTGAACTGGATATATTATGTATTAATGCTCTCTAAAAGCTGTCTAGAGATTTGTGCATACATCTGCTCAATTGTGTTTACGGTTCTCTCTGTTTTTTCCAATATGAAGATGGAAGTAATAAGTTTCCATTATAGATTAATATAGAGGACCTGGTATTCTGCTTTTTTTTGGTGGAAATTTATATATGAAAATGAAAATTTTGTTCTAATCATTTGTGTGGAATTGGGTTTCCACTTGCCCCTCAGCCTTGTGCTGGAAGGACGTACTTTTGGGACAACCTTAAGTCGATTCATATTTTTAAGAGAGAGTGCAGTTTATTGTTCAGTGAACCAAGAGCTTCCATTTTTCGGATGTATGAAAAGAGAAAAGATGATCAGAGTTGAAGCTATAGTCTCACTATGTCCCAAGATCTGTGCTTGACCTGTGATACCTCTTACCTGTGAATGTCTTGTCACTTTTGGTATCTTTGTAGTTTTTGTTTTCTTTTAGCATGGCTGCAAATGTTAATAGAATGTAAGCCATATTTCCATGCCATGCCATCGTGTTAGCTTTTATGAACAGACTGTTGTTTCTTCATAGATATAAGTCAGTAATGATAATTCATGAGCATTGACTCAGAAATGTTTCTAGCAGTGTTCTGCAGGCGAAGCCTTAATTGACAAATTACAAACTTTTGTCTTGTAGTTTTCCATGCGGCTAAGACTGACTAGTCTTAAAATCAAATAATTCCTGCAACTCCTGAAAGACACAAAGAAACCAATTTGTCAAATTCTTTTTAAAGAACTGACAATTTGTGCTTCATTTTTGCTGAATGTCAGTATAACACGGATAGCTTGAATTGGCCGGTACCGGCCTCAGTAGTTTGGGGGACCCGTAGTTCGAGGGATACATCTTACGAAGATAAAGAAGAGAAGAAAAAAACGGGACCACAGTCACAGTTCAACGGATGCATGATTTCGATTTTTCTGTGTTCGACCTATCCGTGTTATATTGTAGTTGGAAGAGGGTATCTCTTGGAGTTAAATTACCTCCTTTTTTGTTCTTTTTCTGTTATTTTTGTCTCTCAGTCTTCCTTTTTCCCCAGCTCGTAAATGAACATTATTGTGTTGATGTGCACCTTTTCACTCAAACCAGAACAATAGCATCTAGTGAAATAATTGGGGAAGGGGAGGGGGTCAGAACAGCTCTAAATTACAACCTTCTGATGAACACGCTACCGTATTCTTTTGATTTCTCTGCTTATGCTATTATAAAGGATGATGACCAAAAAGAATTATTATGAGTTACTGTTTGCACCGGTTCTATTAAGGTACAAGCAGTTCCATCTTATTTTACTCCGAGGTGAGAGAGCCTATTGTTTTGTGTACTTGTTCACATCTGGATTTGTTCTTCATCAACTTTTTTTTTTGCCTCAAGTAATGGGAAAAGGTTGATTCATTTTTAGTTGAATACATTTAAATGTTTAAATAGCAGCTACTTTTTGAGTAAAAGTTGCTAAAATAAAGTTTTAAGACTAACAATTTTTTCGTTAATTATTCTGAAAGTTTAGTTATTCATAATATTAATAATGATCACTGTACAACTTTGCTTGTAAAATGGGTTGATTCATTGATTATATCATGATTGTGGAAATTGCATGGCTAGTTTCCAACGTGAGACATATTTATTGTTGTTGGGATCAATGTAGCACTGCACAGATTTTTGTTCTTTCTTCCAAAGCCTCAAAGTGGCACATGTATATATATATATATATATATATATATATATATATATATATATATATATATATATATGTGCAGATTTTCAGTGGCTTCTCTTTTACTTTTGTCTCATAGAATAGTGCGTATCCAAGACATGCAGTGTCCGGGGGGAGGAAGACCGGGCTGATATCATTCATGGAGTGTTGGACATTGGAGAATGTGGTGCGTGCTTGATTGCTTTACACTAGTGGTTGTGCTAATACACATTCTTCCTCAGCCCCCTGGGGTAGTGCCACTGACTGCAGTGTCTTTAGGCCATTCCCGAAGGGGGGGACATTTCTCGTTCAAGCACAGTAGAATTGTGAATGGGCTGATTCATGTCACGCTCATAACTGTGCCTGATCTACAACAGGGAACTGCCGCTATTTCTTTCCTAATCCTCAATATTGTCATTTTTTTCTCTACTTCTTTTGTATGTTTGTCACTCTTTTGTGACCTGCTATTTTTGGGGTGCCTTAATAGTCGAAGCAGACCTTGTGCTGTTGAAGCTAGAAAGGTTAGCAGAATAAGTCTGATTCCCTGTAAATACTTCTCTGTTGACACCCACCCCTTGGCGCTCATATGACCTTATGCAGTTGCGAGCGCCGTAAAACCCTCTACTCTTAAAAAATTCTTCCTGAGACGTAATGTAGTATAAATATATACCTGCAAAGTGGAAGATACTGGAACAGCGGTGATCAGAGAATGGTAGGCCTCCTGGCTGGACTATCCATCCGTCATTTCTACTTATCAGTCATGCTTGTTCCTAGCAATAATCTTCTTCGTGTCTATGTGCTGCTTATATTCTGTAACCCCCCCCACCCCCCTTTTTGTTCTTTGTTCTGAGATCCTCTTGTTCACTGTGTCTAAGTTCTTGTCTTATGATTTGAAAAAGTTCACATTTTTAAAACTTTTTATTATGCCATAGTCTTTAAGTGAGCAATTATGAAAGAATTTAGCTTCTTGATTCTTGCCTCTTCTGTTGTAAAAGGTATAAGAATATTATATATAAGTCTAAAGTGCGTTCTGCAAATCTTAAATTAATCTGTAGCAACAATCTCTGCTGTAGCCTACTAGTAATATCTGCTGATCTCCTGCTGAATCTCAGTTTGGTCATTTGTTTTAATTTATTTTTACGTCGCTTTCATATTTTGCTTACTACTGAGTGCAAATGAAGGCTTTTTAATGCATTTTGATTGTCACCAATGTAGAAATTAGTTACAGTAAGCTGTTCTACAATTCTGTTCAATGGGCATAAAAGATGGAGAACATAGAAAGAGCAAGAAAATATTCTTTATAATATATATGCCATCTAGCTTATAAAACAAAATGACCGAAAGATTTTTCAGCTGAGGCAAAGCCATTCTGATTTGACATTTTCTGATTATCATATTATCATTTTGTGATCAACCAAATATTTTTTTGCAACATAATCAATCAGAGTACTGTAAAAACAAAAAAAAAACTTGCGCATTATACTCAAGGGGCCTTCAACAGCGAAGATCAGATGTGGTTTTGAGAGATCTCACGGCCAAGGCCTGTTAGTTTTAGCTATTGCAGTTCAGATTTAGTTGAGGTTAAGGGTTTGCTCTTATTTTATTTTAATGTGAAGCACAAATTTTTGCATTTGCAGGATTTTTAATTTAAAAAAAATTCCTGTGAACTACATTCTTCATAAATGCACAAGATTAAAATAGGCATTATACTACATTTTTCTGCACCGTAGGTTACCATGGAATTGCATTTTGAAATCGTGTTTGATTTCTGATATTTTGATCTGAGACCTCAACACAAGACCAATGTTTTCCTGCTTTGAAATATTGCTTCTTATTATCAAATAAAGTGACTTACTACATTTACACTATGTATATTTCAGGTTTTGCGTTTTATTTTCCATAGACTAGAGCACCATTCTGCACCAATGTATTCAGTTGACTTCCACTATCCAATTTTAGATGGGGGATGGGATGGATCAGACAATAACATGATAGACTATACCTCTACTATGTAAGTGACCTTGTTTTCAACCCGTGAAAAGGGTTTCTTGTACTGTTTTGTTTTGGGGATTTTTGAGGGGTGGGGGAGGGGAAGAAGGTTTTCCTCAAGTCTTTTTCTTCCACTTGGCTGGGTCTTATCAGAGATGGAAGTTTAATTTGGAGGTCCTATCTCTCAAATCACCTTGCATTACTTGCAGTATTGCAGGGTTGTGAAACCCACACCATAAGATAAAATCATGCCATGATTATATATCAAAAGGATAATTGGAAGTCTGTTTTCCACACCTTTACTTTCCAACATTCTTTTCTTTTCTATGGGTGGTTGGCAGCTGCTCGCGTGTGGTTTTCTCCTTCTATCCTACCGAACAACTGGTCTGTCTATCGTCCTTATCTCTCATTTCTTTGTGTTATACACTCGTGGTGTCCTTAATCTTCAGCACTTGTGTGACCTGTTTGTGTTGCAAGTGCCATAAAACTCTTTCTTAAACTTGTCTTTCCCTTTGTTGTTTCCGTCTGACTTGCATTTACCGTACACTAAATGACCATTATTGTGCTGGTGTGCTGGTGCTCTGCTGTTGTTTGATCT